TTTTTTGTCTTCACAATCAACATTCTTGGCATCAGCAGTCAGGAAAACAAAAGACAAATTGCATTAGATAAATCTACTGTCAGGGACCTTCTCAGAGTGGTGATGAGCAATGATGTCAATCTAGAAACTAAGGTGCATCTGTTCCAGGCCATGGTCTTCACAAATAGTTGGTGTGCATCAGAAAGCTGGACAGTGATTAAGAATGATAGAAGAATCATCGATGCCATTGAGTTGTGCTGGTGAAGAGTATTGAACATACCGTAGACTGCCAAGAGAACTAATAGATCTCTTCTGGAGAAGGTGAAACCAAATTGCTCCCTGGAGGCAAGGATTTTGAAGCTCTGTCTCAAATATTTGGACATGTTGCCAGGAGGGACCAGCCCTTGAAAAAGGACATCATGTTTGGAAGGATGGAGAGGAGTGCAGGAAAGGATGACTCAATGAAATGGATTAGCACAGTAACTGGGGTAGGTCTGTCAGAGACAGACTTGTTTAGGGTAGGGCAGGGTTCAGAGCTATTGTAGGGTCACTATGGGTTGCTGGCAACTCAGTACATACAACAAGAAGGGTGGACCTTATATCCCATCTTAATTCTCTCTCCTTAATACAATAAATATTTCAGCACAAAATAAAGTTAATCCTTGGCTATTAAAGACATTTTGAATGAAGAACCTTTAGCAACATAGAGGAGGAGATAGTACTCTGTCTTTTTGGAACCACTGATAGATTTGAACCACCAGAGGAGTGCTTTGGGTTAACAGCACAACTTTCTACAAACTTGGCTCCCTATAAATATTACAAACTAAGAAACCTGATGGGGCAATTTTACTGTCATGTACATAGGGTCACTGTGAGTGACAGTCCACTTAGCACTTAATAACAAGAGATGACCATTTTTGGTATAGATAGGAACGAGGCTTAGGAAAAGTTAAAGGTTCACAGCTGATAAAGGAGTGTAACTGATAGTGAGTTGCATTTCTAGTGCACGTCTCTAGTGGTTCAGCTCGACCAGTGGCTCAATAGGAGAAAGACGGGCAGCATTGAACACCTCAGTAGAGGATCACTCACTGAGTTAGAAAGGACTAGATAACAATGAGATGAGGGTGATAAAAGGAGTTAATTTATAGGATGACATTTGGGGTTTTCTGAATGCAAGTGGAGAATTAATATTGGAAAAGATCTTTTACCTGTGACACTCAGCTCATTGTCATTGAATTGGAAATGGCTCACAGCCTACCCTTTGTTAGGTTTCTGAGGTTGTGAATCACATTGGAGGAGATTGACTCTACCACTGGCTTCTTAGGAGAAAGATAGGCAGCCAGAGATGTGAAGCATTTTGTTAGCATTACAACTCTACACAGAGACTTTCTGTGGTAACAGGAGTGGAGAAAGGCTAAGTAGAAGCAAATTGGTTTATAGGTTTGTTGGTCAGACATTTTAAGAAATTGCACTGGGTAGCTCCCAGTTGGGGGTTTTTTAATTTTATTTTGGTGTGCATACATCTGTTTTTAAAAGATCAGATCACTTAGTATGACTGAGTGAGAATATTTGTGAAAAATATTTGAAACAACTGTAGAATACTGCAGAAAAAATATTTCAGAAATACAAGATTGGCAATCAGTACTGAAAGCCCAGTTAAAGTGAATGATCTTTTATCATCACACCAGTCAGCTGGTTTGTCAGAGTGGAGCAAGAGTGGACACACTGACCTGCAAGCCAATCTGATACTTGACCTGTTTTTTGTAAATAAAGTTTTATTGGAACACAACCATGGTCTTTCATTTATGATTTCTTTCATGGTACAATGCCAGGGTTGGGTAGGCAGCCCTCAAAGTCTACAGTATTTATTAATATTATGACTCGATGGCACATAACAACAACATGACCCATTGCAGAAGTTGCTGACCCTTCTTTATAGATCAACCTGGATAAATCTGCAGAGAAAACAGACATTTATTTAGTGTTATGCAGAGTTGAGGGTCTTGTTAAAGAGTTAACAGGAAATTAGTTGACATACTGGATCTTGAAATCTAACTTGAAGAAGAACAGATATGGGAGCAGCTGATGGATTCAAACCACTAGAGAAGTGCAGCCTTGGGGTAAGCAGCAAAGCCCTTTACAGACTAATAGTTTATTCCAATATCTTAGTATTTTTCTCACAGAAGAGAAGTTTTAGGAGTTTGCCAGGAAACATCTAAATCAAATTGCTAGTACTCAAATTTTAAAACTACTAGTAATATAATAAAAATAAATAGAAAAAGTTGTTGCTTATGCACTTGTAAATAGAACTTACTATACTTTTAAAATGTCTTTTGGTTGTCAGACTGCAGATGTATTTAATTTTGAGGAAACAGTATATAGTCATCATATGTCTCCAGTTGCCACCAAGCACTGTTTAATAGCAGGTTTGTACATATATTCTTTTGCCTTTTTACATGTTGAAACTTTTCTCTTTTTGTTTCTTTTAAACTTTTATATAAGCATTTAACTCATATGGAGATGACAATTCTTAAAAGAAAAATAGATGCCATTCATATTATCAGATACCAATCAGTCATATTACAAGATATCAAAGTACACAGCTCACCAAGATGCAAAGATTTAAAAAGCATATTTCTCTCTTTGTAAGATTTTACTCTTAAACCAACCGTCAACTTTTCTATGATTTTACATGAACCCAATTTGACAGCTTTTTAATTATGAGACAAGGAAACTATCTGATTCAAAGTAAGTATCTCTTTATACAAATGTGCCTATAACAATAATTTTCACGTGTGAGGAAGGGGAAATATCAGGTATGTAGGCCTGTGAGTCCATTATTTTTATGGTACTGTGTCAGTCTCTTCACCTCTGCATATTGGTGAATTGCTTAATCTCTAAAGAAAAGCTACATATGAAATTATATTTGAGTTCCAATTAATCTATATAGAGTTGCAGTGAATCTGTTACTAGTAATTGGAATTCCATCAATTTACTTAGATAAGCAAGCTGTTAAAGCTATTGGATGAAATAAAATTGCATAGCTTTATACACAAATGTTGTACCAATTTAAGTTTCCTGATTTTAATAATGTACCATTGGTAGCTCAAATAACCATTGGGGGAACTTGGATGAAGAGTGTGAAGGACCTTTCTGTACCATCATTGCAAGTTTTTTTTAATCTATAATAAAAAATAAAAAGTTAAAAAAAAATGCAGTAGTAGAATTCTTTTTCTGTTAAGCTATGATTAAAATAATTGTTCTAATTATAAAAGTTTAACTGAAATGTTTTGATATGTATTTTACATTTAAAGATACAATAAAAATGTCTAGAATTACAACATTTATTTTATTTCTCTTTCCTCTTGATTTTTTTATAAAATTATCCTTAAAAACTTTTGTTTTTACAGTTGGTACTAGAGGACCCAAAGTACAACTTTGTGACTTGAAGTCTGGATCCTGTTCTCACATTCTACAGGGTATTTTTTTTTTTAGTTTGAAACAATAAACATTCAATAAAAAGAAACATTAGGAACAATGTATTCTTTGTAAGTGGCATGACTAATGTATTTTGTGCTAGTTGTTAAAAGTCAACAGGAAAATAAAGATCCTTCTGTGCATTATTCTTGTAAAGCTGACTTAATTGAGGAGATTTTTTTTTAAACAATTGCCATAAGGGAAGACCTAAGGATATGGAAAATAGATGGGCTCCCTCAAAATCTTGTTACTTGTAAAGAACTAGTGAAACTTACACAGGACATTGTTTCCACAAACATATGTAACTATATATACTAGTTTCTGCGTAACTAGTTTCAGTAGTGACTAGACATAAATAACTAAATGTATGTTGGCTTCTCAAAAAAAACATTTTAGGAAAAAATCTTCAAATAATACTTACTACTTACTTGATATTAAGCCTTTCCTCCAAGAAGCAGCCTGGCTTCACCCTCTCCAGGACGAACTTGTTTGTTCTCCTAGCAGTCCATAGTATATTCAGTACTCTTCTCCAGCATCACAGCTCAAAGCCATCAATTCTCCTAGTCCAGCTTTATGTTGCATAGCAAGTAATTGCAAAGACCATGTCCTGAATCAGGTGCACTTTAGTCTCCAGACTGACATCGTTGCTCTTCAGTCAGCCGACTTTCCCAAAATGCAGTTCATCTTTTAATTTCCTGGCTGCTGGTACCAAGAGCCAAACAAACTGAAGCTGTTGACAATCTTAATCTTCTCACCATCCATCATGATGCTGCCAATCAGCCCAGTGGTGAGAATCTGTCTTCTTGATATTAAGCCTGAATCCATATTGAAGGCTGCAGTCCTTGACCCTCTGCAGCAAACACTTCAGATCCAACCCTCTGCAGCAAATGCTTCAGGTCCTCCTCGGTTGCAGCGAGCAGGGTTCTGTCATCTGCATAACACAGACTGTTGATGAGTCTACCTCCAATCCTGATACCACACTTATCTTCATAGAACCCAGCCTCCTGGATAATCTGTTCCACATATAGATTAAAAAAGATAAGAAGAAAGGACACATCCTTGGGTACAACCTTCCCAGTTTTGAACCGTGCTGCATTTTCATGCTCTGTTCTGACAACTGCCTCCTGGTTCAAGTATAGGTTTCACATAAGCACAATCAAGT